TGAATGGATTAATCTATTTCTAACCGATCTCTCAAATGAAGACTTTTACGACAAACTTTGTAATCCAAACGCACATAAAATTAACAAATTTAGTGCCGAGAGAATCAAAGAGAGTATTAAATCGGATTTGATTTGCGATTCAATGAGAGAAGTGATGGATAGATTGGATGCCAACAAGTATTTGCATCCAATTCTTCTAACGTATGTTAAAAAACATGTCTCAGAGATTGATAAAGCGTTGCAAAGAATCAAAGTCATTGAAGACACTGTCATACGAGACAAAGCCATCAAATTCTTGTTATACATCATAAACATAAACACGCTTTTGGACGAAGCGATGGGCACTTACGACAGCCAACTCTTTCTTATGATTGCATCGAAATCGCAAAAAGATCCCAAAGAATATTTGGCTCTTTTGGACCAATTAAACCAAATTGAATGCTTTGAATACAAGTGCTTTAAAATCGATATGCATTTAAAACGATATAAGAAAGCGTTAACTCATATCTCAAAACTTGACGACCACTTTGAGGAGTGTCTGGGAGTCATCCGAGAGCACAGTCTTTATAGAGATGCTGTGGTTTTGTTTGACACCGAATGCGATGATAAGAAAGACAGGGTTTGGAAATTATACGCCGAATACCTTTTCAATAAGAGATACTTTGAAGAGTCGGCCATTGCTTACAAAAGAGGCCACGATTTTGTGAATGCGGTGAAAGCATATCAATTAAGTGGCAATTGGAGTGCNACAGTCTTTATAGAGATGCTGTGGTTTTGTTTGACACCGAATGCGATGATAAGAAAGACAGGGTTTGGAAATTATACGCCGAATACCTTTTCAATAAGAGATACTTTGAAGAGTCGGCCATTGCTTACAAAAGAGGCCACGATTTTGTGAATGCGGTGAAAGCATATCAATTAAGTGGCAATTGGAGTGCAGCCATCGATTGTGTCTATCACTGCTCTCATGTGATTAACGCCAAAACTGTGGCTCAAAATCTGGCCAAACATTTAGCTACGATTGGCAAACACTTTGAGGCCTCATATCTGCTGGAAGTATACGCCGAAGATATAAATGAAAGCATCAGAACTCTGATTGATGGCCACGAATGGGAACACACGAGTCGACTACTGACTCGATCACCAAATGAAGAACTTCTCGCTTATTTGAAGACCGAATTGCAACGACATTACGAATTGGCTTTGGATATGATTACAAAGAATTACGATATATTAATCAAACACATGAATCGATTGGAAATCGTTTACCAAAAGAAGTCACAAAAATCACAAGAGTTTCAAAAATATGACAATTTTGACGACAAATCGGAGATATATTCTGAAACAAGTGGTTTAAGTGATTCGCATAGAAGTAGTCAAAAGTCGACTTCGAGTTCACTCGCGACCCGAAAAAGTCGAAAGAGTGTCAAAAAGAGTGAAATGAAGAAATACGTGCTTAAAGAAGGATCCGCTGACGAAGACATTCAACTCATTTACGCCATCAATGAATTGATCAAAACTATAGACCGAACGCAAGAAGAAGTTTCTCTTCTCATCAAAACTCTCTATAATTACTATTATTCCGACGAAGCGCTCAAAATTCAACACGAATTTCATATTTTATTGAATTTAATAAATAATATAATTAAAGAAATTTGGACTCAAAATGAATTGCAAGACCAGTCGGAAGAGTGGACACAAAAATACAAAATAACCGGTAATTTATAACAATATTGCATTGAATACTAAACATTGATTAATCATTATTGTTATTATCATTAAACAGATCCGCAACTCATGAGAGCACCGGAATTGAGGAAAATAGACTGGAAATTGGCACTCATTTGAAATATTTATCCATAAATGAATATAACATTGAAATGATTTTGAATAATATTTGCAATATTTTATATACAATAAGTTATACATGTATATTTTAATAATTACATATTTTTAAAAATATTGTTTTGGTTAAGGAGTTGAATACAATCAGATGTTAGTATAATTTTAATATTATATATTATTAAATAAATAATATTTATAAATATGTTTAAAGTACCATAATATGTATATTTATAGTTGTTTGTTATATTATTGTTTTAGAGTATAACCAAGGTTAAAATGTTAGGTAAAAACATTTAATATTGAAATCAATATTTTCATTTAGCCTAAAGTTTGACAAAGAATAATATTAAATCACTTGACATAACTGTAAAATAACTTTGGATTTTGTCATCGAGTCTATAATTTCAAAAATATCACCTTGTTAATATTGTAAAGTAACTTTTAAATACTGTGTCTAACGATAGGTAAGTATGACATCACAGAGTGTTTATGAGATATTCTCTATTATTATAACACCATATGTGAGAGACGGCAACAAAACATCATTTTTTGACAACACTTTCGTTGCATTTATTCAATACAATGCATTCAATTTCATAATTGACATCAACTGAACACTCGTTTCACAACATCAACAAAAACTATACATTTTGTTCAACAATCAAATTAATTGAAATTACAGTTAAATGCAAATTATTGTCAACTCATTTAAATGCAATGTTTAGCCAAACCATTGCTATAATCATATATTGAATGCAAACTAATTTTAGGTAAGTTTTGTGGCAAACATTGAATGCAAAACACAATCAATTGAACAATTAATTAATGTTTTTTTTTGCATTTAGAAAAAGCACTCAATATTTCTTATCTCAAAATACCGGCGATTAATGAATCAAATTGTTTTCAAAACTAATAAATACAAGACTTGAATGCAATTATCATTTGTTTGCGATTAAAAAAGTGGACACAAATCAATACGATATGACCAGTGAGTGAAGACATGAATGAAAGCGAGTGTCAAAAGTGTTGAATGCATTTCGGGGCCGAAGACATAGTCAGGTGACGGAAACAATGCAATGCAATCACTTGTGGTCAGTGGACAACTGCGGAACCGTTCACTCGTTGGACATTAAAAGTAAACAATGGTCTCAATTGTCTTACCAGAGGCTTGAGTTCAAGCGGGTCTCGTCGTCGCCGCAGTCTATTTGGGCGATCGGTGGCGACCATCAGATCTATATATACGTGCCGTCAAATGATATACCCATCAGAGTCTGTGACCTCACGTACGAGAATCAGCGGTGGAATCCTTTGAATCAATTCAGTTCATCGCTTCTGCCGACAGACAGACCGCAATTCAGTTGCGCCGACGGCTCACTCGCTTTGCCCAAAGAGGGCTTCGTTTTGCCGTCAAAGGGCTGGTCCTACGAGAGTGACTGGTATATCGAGACCAACATCGAGGGCGAACCGTTAGAGCCCGAGGGCTGGTCCTATGCCATCGACTTTCCCATGAAGTTCTCGAGCGAAAAGCATTGGAGTTCACTCGTCAGACGCCGACGTTGGCTCAGATTCCGCAGGTCTGACCATTAGATTACACGCCCTTTCATTGAGGAGACAATCATTGAGTGATATATTTTGTTTTGTTTTTCCAATTGAAGGTATGTTTGTATCAACGAATGGGCACTCGTGGAGTCAATTCACGGCGATTTTGTGACCGAACCATTCATCGACATATCGACGGGCGGTTACGAAATGTCCGGCAGTGATAACGATATGTTAGCCGTTTGGGCGGTGACTGTCATCGGACGAGTGATTTACAGGAAAGGGATCGACAAATACTCACCCGAAGGCGTTTCATGGGTTAACGTCAAAGTGCCCGTCGGTTGGGAAGTGAACCAAATATCGTGCGGACCGACGGGACTGGTTTGGGCGGTCGCGTGGGACGGATCGGCATTAGTCCGCTCGGGAGTCAATAGGGATACTATTTATGGGAATGA